CCCCAAAACCCCAAAACCCCAAAACCCCACATGCTTTGATTTTTGAAGCCGTGGATAATATCTTTTTGAATATTAAAACGTGTTTAGATTTGGCTTGTTAGGTAAATGAAAAGAGATGAACTTTATAATGAGAATCAAGTTAGTAATAGTATCAATTATTTATTCACTCATCTAAGATACCTTTGTCAATTGCTTCAAATAGAAGTGATGTGAGTTCACTGTGTGATTCGTATTCAAAAGTAAGCATAATAGTCTTTTCAGATACTGTGCTAGTCTGAACCCACCAGAATGCTGGTACATATATGCATGATCCCTTTTCGAGTCTTGCTGATAGCACTCTAATTTTTTTGGCTAATGGGAATTTGTCCTATGAGGAATAATTGAAGAAATCTATAGGAGTTTCAGTTGGCCCTAATTCCTCAATAACGCCAGAGTATATGCTTTATTTGTAGATGGGTGAAACTAATCTGAAATCTTCAGTTCCTGAAATCACACAGAGATATCTCTCTCTATTTTTAAACTCTGGCTGTCTGATGAAATCATTCCAAATGGTCAAGCCAGTCATTCTGTTTCTGAGTATTTTAGTGATGAATTATGGTTTCTCGTAGTCCATTTGTAAATTTCTACTCACAATCATTTCATTCTTCAAGAAATACATTGCAGTCTTATCATTATCAGTAGTAGTAAGATTCAAGTACTAGGTAAAGCTATTTCTTTTGGAGGATTAGGAACTATAGTGATAGTTTGCGTTGCGGTTGATTTGATTCCCAATCTTAGGTCTATCTAACTTATTGATGACGATGGATTAAAGACCGTATTCTCTCTTCAAGTAATATATATCATTCCATTTATCTAATGCTCTCCACTTTTTACATCCATCTTCTACAACCATTGGTTTATTTTGTGTCAGATGATTTTTATAGAAGTACTATGAATTCAAATCTTCTAACTACTTTTTGATTATTTGATCATCAACTTTGATTCTATTCTGAAAGAAGTAGAAGAGTGGATGCTCCATCAGGTTTTCATTTATTTGCAGTTCATGTTTTAAGAACTAACTCATATTCTTGCCTGTGTATACAACATAGAACATACCAGTAAAGGCAAATGCTATAATGAAAACAAAGACATAGACCAAGTTTCTTGGAATAGCCATGAGAAGTTTGTATCCCCAAGACTCTCGCTTGGCCTTGAGTTTCATTCTTTGCTAGGCTCTAATCATATTAATTATTGATTATATAATTACAATTATTATTCATTATAAACCACTTCATGGGGTTTTGGGGTTTTGGGGTTTTGGGGTTTAATCATTGTTATTGAGAGTTGAATTCAT